GATCCCTCCCTATAGCGTTAGACTTAGTTGGCCATCCCATTCTAATTTTAGTTAAATCCTCAATTTAGTTTTTGAATTATTGTATAGATCTTGATTTAGTCTCTAAATTAAAAATATTTTAATTTAATCTCTGAACTATTATGCAGAGTTTACGACCCTCAATTTGATCTATATTATTTATTAATTTATCATAAGTTGATCTTTTCATATAAAAAATAACTTATGTGTCTCTTTATTAATATTACATGTGACCATTAAGTAATTATTTTTCATTATTAAATAACAATTATGTCAGTTGTTTTTATACGAAAAGACTAACTTAAGGCTAAATCAATAAATAATAAGGACCAAATTGGGGTCCATACAATAATTTAAGGATAAAATCAAAGATTTTTTTAGTTTAAAGACCAAATTGAAGGTTTGCACAATAATTCAAGGACCAAATTGGGGTTTAACCTTTCAATTTCCATAAGTAATTTTACTTCCATAAAAAATTAAACATCAGCGCACTCACGTAATTTAGCTCATGATGAGCAACAACTTTTTCTTGCCAAATTCTTTTTTTGTGCACGTCTAATAGTAGATGTATACAATATTTCGGTGGAGTGGGATTAAGCAAAATTCTCTGGGCATCATGATTTCACTAAGCGATTGTTAGTTTCTTAAATTGGCTTTTTTTGTATGAATACTAGTTTCCGTGCGCTGTAGGATCAGTTTGTCTGGATTTTCGTCGTTCAACTTTCTGCCTAGCAAGTGTTTGAGAAAATGCCACAAACAGGATTTCATTGTATAGGAAAAACCAAAACTTGCTCCATGTATGTTTGAATTATACGGCTAGAATAGAGGCGGAAGCCTCCTGACCTTAGTGGCTTGCTCAAAGCTGTAATCATTAGATTGCATCTTCTACTACTATAAAAGGTGCATCTTGAATTTTTTTTTCCCCTTAAATTTTTAATTAAGAGGATTGGACTTAATCGTGAAAATAAAATTCTAAGTTATATCATATTATGGGATCGGTTTAAGTGTATTATATTTAGGGTATTGGTAGTTGGCAGAAGCCATAGGGATTAATCTATCATTCAAACTTTCTGTCTATTAGGTGTTTGAGAAAATGTCCCATAGAGAAATTGCCTCAAACTTTCACCTTGGGGAATTCTATTGATATGGCTACTTGGTTAGTGATACTAACTTCTGTTTCATTTTTTAGCAAGGTGCAAAATTTATTCATAATATATGGATTTAACATTTTCCAGCTTTATTGATCGTTGAACACTGATAATTTTTAAGTTATTAGCTATCACCCATTAGAATTTCAGAGCTTTGCAGCTAGAATGGAGGCCTCCTGACCTTAGTGGCTTGCTCAAAGCTGTATGCAATCTCAATCAGTGTTGGCTCTGAGCCTTTTAGCCCTGCAAAGTTGATTCCAAAGGGTATTCCGCCAATATCATATCCAGCAGGGACAGTAATTCCTGGATATCCACCAGATGCAATATAGTGAGATATAAAGGGCGCCACCAATGCATCCAGCTTGTTGTTCTCGATCAGCTTCTCAAATCCATATTTTGAGTATATTTCTAACTTTGACAATGCTTCCCTCTCTTTCTCATGTATCCCGTGTGTAGGTTCAGCTTCCATAAAATGATCTTGACCATATTCCTTCATTTTTTCCTGTACCATCATTTTTTCTCACCGTCAATATAAGCCTGAAGAAATGTAGATATTGAGGTAATCTACCTATGCTCTTTTATCTTTCTTTCTTTCTTTCTTTCTTTCTTTCTTTCTTTCTTTTGATAAAGCTGGCAATCTATATTTATTTATTGCTGAAATACTCACCAAACCTGGGTTTCTGTTGTTGAATGCTATGACATCTTTCAAGGATCTCACTGGAGATTTAACAAGCTGATTCAGGTAAGAATTCAAGGCCGATTTAAACTCAGCATTTATTGCAATATCTTCATAGTTTGATGTGAGTATATCTTTGTGCTTTACTTCCAGATTGTCTATCAAAACTGCACCTGCTTGCCTGTTTTTGCAGAAAATTTTCATGAGCTACGTACTCTTAATAACAAATGGAAACTAGAATCATGTTGATTACAGCATTCGTTCTATACCTTAAAGTCTTGAAGTGTTGCTCATAAGTTTTGGCTGGGATAGATTCTTTGTCAAAAGCAAATTCACTCCTAAGTATGCCTAATCTCTTCCTTTTGAGTCCATCAAGCTTTAAAAATTGTTTGTAGCCACCTTGCGGGATGTATTTTGATGCTTCAATGGTTGCCTTATCATTGTAATCAAGTCCTGCAATGGCGTCAAGAACATAAGCTGCATCTGCTACTGTTCTGCACATTGGCCTGTTTAAATTCAAGGGGCAGGAATGATTCCTCTTTTAGTGTTATGCAGGAGTCAGGAACAAGAAAACATAAAAAATCCAAGATCTTGAAGATGATTACCCACCCAACAGTATCTTGTCTAGGAGTGATAGGGATGACTCCTGCTCGGCTGGTAAGGCCAACAGTTGGTTTGATACCAACAATGGAATTAAGAAAGGACGGGCATAAGATGGAGCCATCAGTCTCTGTCCCAAGTGATACTGCTACCATATTTGCTGCTGTTGAAATTGCCGATCCACTACTTGACCCACAAGGTTCTGCTGAAAAATTATAAGGATTCTGCAGTTTATCAGGTGACAATATTATTACTTTGTTTTGATTATTCTGTTTTAGCATTTCAAGGTTGTAAATGTTCCATAGCCCACCTTTCCATAGCCACTCCTAGCGCACCACCCAAGGGGTGAACTCCTGCTCCTCCAATGTGCCCACTCGCTCAAGCTAGCCTTTCCAAGAATGATAGCTCCGGCTCTCCTCAACTTGGCGACCACACCAGCATCGTGAGGCACAATGGATCCTAGCAGAGCATATGAACCTGCAGT